TCCCAATTCTCTTTAGTTTGAAGACATAGGGCTAAGGAGTAGGGCTAGATAGAGATTTTTTTAGGACCATACTTGAAATCAAGGGGTACAAAAATTTCCCAAAATACACAAGCCTCAACGACAGCATGGCTGCACACCGCAGTAAGGAGATGCACAAATCAGTATTTTTTTTTTTTACATTATTATGAATTTTTACAACAAAAGCATTTATTTTAATACAATCATAACAGCGTTTGTGTTTTACCGTCACGCTTAAAAGAAAAACAGCTAAAAATAAATAAATAATAACTACTGTATAGTAATCCCACAACATTCTGTGACTCGATGACACTTGAATACCCTGTCAGAAAAGTCTAGTGGCTGAGAATGAGCTTTTTACAGTGTCTGCTATAATGTTCATGTTGTTTTCTTGTGTTTACATAATAAATATGGCCACAGTGTAAATGCCACATTATATCGTTATGATAACATATGTTTTTAGTGATTTCCTAAAAATTAATACCAAAAAATAACACAACTGGAATAACTACAGCAGTCATGCTCATCAAACTGGTATGAAGTAAGAGCTCGCGATGACATATGATGACCTGTGAGGGTGTTGTAGTGCTGTACCATTTCATAGGGGTAAATTTTGAAGCCCTTCCCCTTCACACAGGGGTACACAAATAGAATTGGGATTGGGCCAATACCTACACACAGTTCTGTCCAAACAGCTTACCAAAAATTATTTTCCTCATAGGTGCCCTTTAAGAACTTTTCTTTGCCTAATACAAAATCTAAGAATAACAAAAAGCAGTTTAATTCAACCTCTCCAGCCGTTGGTTGGAGAGGCGGATTTAACCACATTTACATTCACACTGTTAGAGCAATCAAATGGAATGCGTTTTCACCGACCTCAGAAGTATTCAAAAGTTCAAAACTTCTACTTAATGTTGTCCACTTGTAATCATATTGTTAAAAATGTATCTTAAAGTGGACCTATTATGGCCCTTACAAGATGTAAAATAAGTCTCTGATGTCTCTAGAGTGTGAATGTGTTGTTACAGCTTAAATCACCACACAAATAATTGTTTATAACTCTTTGAAATGGCCCCTTTTAGGATTTGTGCCGTTTTGGTGACTGTTGCTTTAAATTTATATGAGCTTGTGCTCCCAGTCCTTGTTTTGAAATCATCTATGGACTGATAGTCCATAGTCAAAATTATTTGAGACTATGGGTGGTCGTGCTTTTTCATACAGTGCCCCCAAGTTATGGAATGGCCTACCCATCAGTCCTTTTTACCGTTGCTTTTAACTTAGATTATTTTTGTTAATTTTATCATCCATATGTATTGAATCCTTCATATTGTTTTATTGTGATATATATATATATATATATATATATATATATATATATATATATATTTTTATTATTATTATTATTATTATTTTTTTTTTTACTGTTTTTATTGTTGTGCTTTGTTTGCCTTGTATGCCTGTTAGTGCTTTGGGTCTGAGAAAAGCGCACTATAAATAAAATGTATTATTATTATTATCTTCAGCAGAAATGGTGCTAAAACTCTAATGGCAGACGGCTGCTTCTTACTCAGGGCTGTTTATGCTAATAAGGGAGAGATCGTCACTAATGGGCGGGGCTTTCCAATGACACGTACAAAGGGAGAATGTCAATCAATGTGTTTCTGCAGACTATTTTTTTATGAGTGTGATTTATAAAAAAAGTAGAATTAGTTAATGTTTACCATTAGATTCTGGGTTTATTCACACAACTGTGCTTAAACCCTTTATAAAAGTGATTTTTGCATGATACCAAGTGCGAACAGAGCCTAAAACACTGATTTGTGCACCATCAGGCCTGTTGGGTATATGGTTTTATTTTGCCAAGTGTTGATTGATTGAAAGAAGGAACGAAGAATAAGGAAAGCATAATGTGTTCTAGCCTAAAATTGAGCTGCTACCTTCTCTCATCCGTCCTGAAGTCTTTCTAGCGTCTTAATGCGAGTTGCATTCCAATCAGAAATCCCCATGCATCACTGGAAGACCAATTCTCCACCCTTTCCCAGGCTTAGCACTGAACCTTGACCACCTGTGTCTCGCCAAACCCTACGATTAAGACATCAGTATTCACTGGAGAAGCAGACGAAACAGCATGCCAGCCCTTGTTAAGGCTAAAATATTTACTCTGCTCGATAGGCTACCAGGGTGTTGAAAGAGGCGGATTGGAGTTTCCAGATAAACACTCCAACATTTCTCTGTTGTCTGTGATGAATTTATTTCTGCAATTACAGACGTCATCCTACAGGGTCTTTTTTTTTATCTGCCAAAATGTGCTCTATGGCTGTAATTTATTTGGATATGTATTCCGTAATACTAAAAATTAACTTTTTTACTTAAATTTTTTGTAAATTTACAAACATGAAAATGGGTAAAGACATTAGTTTTGCTGTAATTTTTTTTCTGTTGTTAGTTCTAGTTGTTGTTTTTTTTTTTATTTAACACAAATGTTCAACTCACTTTGTTTTTTACAACATAGTGGTAATGTGCAACGTCCACTTGATTTGATTAGCTGAAATTTTCACTAAGTGTTGCATGATTTAGAAATTTTAATTTCTGTTTAAATTGATTGATTAATTGATAATAATCATGCTACTTAATAGAAATCAATTAATAAATCCATCTCTGATTAATCAACATCCTCATTGATTACTATTTAAACACACACATATGTATGACTTATGAAGTATTAAAAATTTTAAACACTTTAACATTTTTTAAATTTTTAAGTAACTTTTTTAAATGCTTTACCAGGGCTCAAAATTGCGAAAGTTTTGGTCACATTTGCCCCGAAAATTTATTTATGCGACCTTAAAATTTGTGCGAGTGCATAAAATTGTTCTTTTGATTTTCACTGCAATATGTTCAGATACGCAGATTTAGGAGACATTCACGCAGAATGCATCTTTGCACCTAAAATGTGTACCGCAGCGCTCGGGAATAGTTTAAAACAGTCATAATGTCAACTTTCTACAGTACAATGCTTGCTCTGCCTTTAAGCTCTTCTGATTGACGCACTGCGCTAGAACTAAATGTGAATGAATTGGTTGATATCAGCTGTAATATCAGTTAATTCAGTCAAAGCTTTCTGCCTTCAGGTGATGGAGAGCTACAGCTGAAAATGCAAAGCACTGAAGATGAGAGAATGATAAGCACACTGACAGATTCTGATTTTGAAATCACCAAAAGTTACAAATAACGGCACATTTACTGTTAAGTCTGTGTAACAGAGTTTTTAAGTAACAGTGTTGGCTACTGAATCTTCACATTTTAAGCACGAGATGTTCTATTAAATCCTTCATTTAATCGGCGGGATAATTTTAAATACAATAAATCTGTTTAAAAACAATAAAGCACTGTTTATGCATGTGATCGCTGAATAAAATTCAGCATAATTTAACGTCATGTGATTCTTCAAAAGTCATTCTGATGTGCTCAAAGTTTACCATAATTAATGAGGGTTACTGCGGGGTCTTAAAGTATTAAGTTTCAAAAACCTAAATTTTAGGCATTAAAAACTCACAGAAATATCGTCATGTAGGTCTTAAATCATTTTAAACAGCTCTTAATTTTTCTTGGTTAATGTAAAGCTTCCCAACCGATCCAACACACAACCAGTCACCAACAATAAAACTCTATTTACAACTAAATTATAACTTCATTTATTTATAACTAACTCTATTTATAACTCTGTTTTATAACTAAAATAATATTTTAAAAGTCTGTTATGCAGACATTTCGTTTATTCAAGTTGTATACAACTAGGGTCTGCTTGATAATGACACATTATATATAACTACTTAGAATTTGTTTCTTAATGGGACAAGTACATATTTTTTTTCTGCTGGCCCATTTAGCCCTATACAAGTCTGACATTTTATTCTTGATGGTTTTAAAAAGTTTTAACAGATTAAATTTGACCTGGTGAAACCTGCAAAAACCCTGCTATTAGTGTTGTCAACGTTAATTATCATAATATTTGTATTTTTTAAGTTGCTAATTTTAAATAATAAATATTTTTGTCCAGGTTTTTTGAATAGATCGTTCAAAATAACAGCATGTAGTTGAAATGGAAACCTTCTGTAACACTAAATATCTTTACTGTCATTTTTTATTATTTAAAAATATGCTAGTTATCATGTTTAAATACTTTTTTTTTTTTTTTGTTTAACTTTAGCACTGAGACTTTTTAATTGTGTGAGCTGAAGTTGTGGTGGATTCATTTAAAGGGGCAGTTCACCCAAAACTGAACGTTCTGTCATAGCTTACTCACCATGCACTTGTTCTAAAGCTGTTTGACTTCCTTTCTTCTGTTCAACACAAAACTGGTAAGAAAAATGCTATGGGTGTCAATGGCTACAGATTTTTAGCTTCTTTTTTTTTCTTTTTTTTTAATATCATCTTTTGTGTTCAACAAAATAAAGCAAATCATAAAAGTTTGGAACAGGGGTGAGTAAATGGTCACTTTTGGGTGAACTATCCCTTTAAAGCAAGTGAACTTTAATGGTTAAAATACTAAAGCATAAGAAATAGTGCAATGACCCAGATTGGCTTAGAACAGTTTCTGGGCATAGGCCCCATGCTGATGTCATTGTCTTTATTTGGGCCGCTTTTAAATATTTCAGGCATGTTCTGATTTTTAAGGAAAATTCCACAGATATATTTTATTTACTTAACACATTTTATACTTCAAAAATGAGCTAATAGAACTGCATGTTTGTCTCTTGCTGTAATGTCATTTCTGGAATCCACAGAATTGGAATATTTGACCGAGGGCAACGTGAAGAAATCCATGTTAAGGCATTTGTGGCAAGGGGACAAGCGCAGTTAGTCATGTCAGAGGGAAATATGATCAGCTCTGGGGAATCTAATTAAAAGATGCATTATGTCGAGTCAGATGAGAGCAATTCCGGCATGTTCTCACCAAGTTTTTTCTCTTATTTTTGCAGGTGAAATGGTCAGACTCTTCATCATCTGCTGTCACTAAAAGTCATCGCGAGTTGGAGGATTTTCTGTTAAAGGTGAGCAGGGAAATGTGGGTCTTTTGCTGTGTTTTGTGGTTGTTTAGTTCTGTTGCACAATTGCCGGTGTGCCCACCAGTTGGGCAACATGCCACCTGGCAAGACCAGCAAAGGACATTATCCATCTGTTTCAGTTTCCATTTCCCTCTCTGGCTGTGCTCAGAATGGAGCACTAGAGTTCTGCATACTGCTTTTTGTGTAATCTTATATGTTAAAAATGCCTATTTGGCTTATTATTATGCCTATGTTAGTCATCTTAGTATCTTAGGTAACGTTTATTTCAGTTAGTTGCATTGGCAAAATTTCACATTTGTCTTTTCCACTTGTTTTATTTATTCATTCATTCATTTTCTTTTCGGCTTAGTCCCTTTATTAATCGAAGGTCACCACAGCAGAATGAATCGCCAACTTATCCAGCATATGTTTTACTTAGTGGATGCCCTTCCAGCTGCAACCCAACACTGAGAAACACCCATACACACTCTTTCACACACATACACTACACTACACGCATGTCTTTGGACTGTGGTGGAAACCGGAGCACCCGGAGGAAACCCACGCCAACACAGGGAGAAAATGCAAACTCCACACAGAAATGCCATCTGACCCAGCCGGGGCTTGAACCAGCAACTGCGCCACCAAGACGCCCCACGTGTTTTATTTTATTTATTAAATGTTATTTTTTTAATACAGATACTGATTTTAAAAATATAGTAGTTATCATGTTTAAATGCTTTTCTTTTTACTTTAGCGCTGAGACTTTTTTTATGATCTGAAGTTGTGGTGAATTAATTTAAAGGGACAGTTCTCCCAAAACTCCACATTCTGTTATTGTTTACTCACCATTCACTTGTTCCAAATCTGTTTGACTTTCTTTCTATTGTTCAACACAAAACAAGATGCTTTGAAGAACGGTAGAAACCATCAACCTCCATAGGATTTGTTTTTATTACTATGGATGCAGTGGTGTAAAGTAACAAATTAAAATACTCAAATTCCTGTAATTGAGTAGTTTTTCTCAGGAATTCTCATTTACTAAGTAGGTTTGAAAATGTGTACTTTTACTTTCTCTTGAGTACATTTTAGTGCATTATCGGTTAGGGGTGTCAAAATTAATCGTTTCTTCAGTGCACCGCGATGCAGACACGGACAATTCGGTATCGGTTCAGTAATAATCATAACCGGTTATTACTGACGTCATTTACCCTTATATGTGCTCTGTCACGAGGGAGGCGAGTGCGAGTATTAACAACGCTCTAATGCTGTGTTCACACCAGACGCGGAACGCGCGGATAAATTGCGCTATATGCACATAAGTAACCGCATGAACCTTTGAGGTTACTCGCTTCATTCGCGCGTCAAACCCGCTTCATTCGCTTATCAAATTCACTTCAGAACAGATGCGGATTCGCTTGATGGGCAGAGCTTCTGTCTGCCCCGTGACTCTAGCTTCATAGCTAAAGGGCTAACATGAATTTTATGAAGAAAATAACAGTGTTTATGTGCTTTATGCAGGATCCACTAGATCCTTTCAGAAGTGCATCCAGCTCTTTAAGCTAATAGACTCCTCTAGAAACTGAACCTGGCTGATGGAGGTTTTCAGCGGTGCTTCTGACTGAGCCCAGCTCAGTTTGATGAACTTCTTGTCGGTGTCTGCTGGGGGATTTCCCCTGGGACACCGACAACAGGCGATACGCCACAATCACGCCTCCACAAGAGCAAGCTCCTGATTGGTTAACGCGGCACGAATGTCCGCTGAAGTTCAGATTTTCGAACTCGAGTGATTCACGCGAAATGCGCATTAAGTGCGTCAAACGCGCAAAACGCTTAATTCGCGCCACGCCATTCGCGCGTATAGCGCCGCAGGATGTCTATTCGCGCGTTTGCTTTGACTTTGCTGTGATCACCGCTGTTGCCTATCAGTGTCACTCATCTAAAGAGTGCAGCGCGCAAGAGCCAATCGCAACCGTTTTGTTGAGGGTGTGACCAATCAAAGAGGTGTAAGAGAACTAGACAAGAATCAGAAAGTGAGCTAAATATTTATATTTGTTTATATTATTTGCTAAATGCTCGTGTTGTTTAAAGGTACAGTTTAAATATCTGACTGTTTGTATTAAATGAAAAAATTGTATAACAAATAGTATATAAATATAAATATATTCATATATTTTAATACAAGAACTGCTGCTGTGAAGAAAATATAAAACTGTGTATGAAAAGCACCGTCAATGCACCGTGATGCACCGAGATATCGAATTGAACCGAATCGATGGCATGATAATCGTAACCGAACCGAACCGTGAGACTAGTGTAGGTTCACACCTCTATTATCGGTACTTTTCCTCCACTTTTTTTTTTTCTTCGACCTGCAGTCACTACTTTATTTTTTCTAGTTTATGGGAATTAGAAAAATCAGTCCAGTGATTTCTGTCCAATCAAATCACATATAGAAGGTATATCGCATCATAATGAACTACCTCAAGACATGGGCGATTTATACTTGCAGCAAACAGTTTGGAAGCATTAAGTGTACAAATAAGATGTTCAAAATCTTTACACACATTGATTGAGAGACTGTTTAGATGCATGTCACTGATGAGAAGATGACGGATGTTTACTGTATGATGATTAAAATGGCCTTAAACACCCAGCAGGCACAAGACATCAACATGACATCAGACTGTTATTGGAACCCCAATGTTGTGGGGATGTTGCATTCTGTTTGGAAATGAAAATCGGGTTGACATCAGAACTCAACATCAGGTTGACATCAGTGTCCAACATCCAACCTAAAATTAACCAAATATCAACGTCTAGTGATGTTACAGTTTGACGTTGTGTGGACGTTACTACTATATCTTCTGTTAGAAGTTGGTTTTTAGTTGCCATACCTGATGAATAAATGTCAGACGTCAATATGGCATTGGTTTTTAAGATGTTGGCTCGACGTAGGATTTTGGTCACTTTCTAACAACGTCAAGTCAACCAAATATCAACGTCATTTGACGTCGTTTTTGGACATCAAAAAAACGTTGTCCTTAGTTGCTGGCTAGACATTGAATTTTGGTCACCTGACATCACAACCTCAATCTAACCTAATATTAAATTCTTGTGACATTGTATGCCTGCTGCTGGGCAATAACTGAGTGCATTACAATGCTATGTTTGCACACATCCACAAATTACATGTAAACGTGTCTGCTTTTTACTGCGTAATACTCACTACTCTTGAGTACTTTTGAAAGGTCTTTACTCATACTTTGAGTAATATTTACAGATACTTTTACTCTACTTGCACTACATTTTAAGCAAGTAATCATACTTTTACTTAAGTATGATTTTTCAGTACTCTTTCCACCACTGTATGGATGTCAGTAGTTCCAGGTTTTCAGCTCTTTTTTCAAAATATCATCTTTTGTGTTCAACCATTTAAAGGAAATCATAAATAAATTTTATTATTTTTTTTTTTGCTTTATTCCAGTTACTGAATTTTTTTTTAAATATATATCTAGTAAGGGACCGTCTGAATGTGTCAGGGATATCAAAAACAAAACTAACTTAACCCCGCTTGACAACCGACAACGCCAGAAACATTGCCAATGCTGTCAAAGCGGCCGGATTTTCAGCGCATATACGATGATTTGCTCACACTGTTAATGTGGCTGCGCAGAGAGGGATGGGCGTTCACCAGATGTCAGGTAACAGCCAAACTTTTCTGTAACCGTGCAGTGCGCTTTCTGTTTGAACCTTTGGGAGTGCTGACTGACAGGTGCGTGAGGTCAGAAAACACGACGAAGCTTTCAGTTAAAATAAACACAGTTTCTATAGTTATAGCCTACTTTATTTAGAGATAAAGGTATATGGCTCTGCATAATCACTCAATCTTGCTGGAGTTTAAAGCCGTTTCGCTTTACTTCAGGACGCATTAACGCCGCTCTGAAGGTCTAATCGTTGTTTTAAGTTATCCAGAGCTGTATGAATATACAAATCTTGAATATCACAATAGTATTAAATATTACAATTGTAACAACACAGACAGCAACACTTTTGCACAATCGATACCCAGCTGATTCAGTCGTTTATAAGAGGACCGCGCCTCTTCTTTTTTCCTTGTCAACATAAAGGCAGTAAGGTGCGCCTTGTTTTCGGCCACTTGTTTAACTGCAAGGCATACTTAATTTGCGGGATGATAACGTATAACCCGTGCCTACAGACACATTTGCTAAAGAAGCAAAATGGAAGAAGAATATTGCTGTTTGATACAGACCTGTTGATACTAAACCAGCGCTTATGTTGACCTGGATCTGCGTAATAAACGCAACAAATAGGCTTTACTTTTTATTTTACAGCTTAAAACATGTACGCAGATTAATGCAATATCATATTTAAACAAACTGTTTACAAAAAGTCTACATATGAGCGCGTGTTGTTGTCTTTTCATCAGGCAGCGCGCGCACTTGAACCGCGAGGGAGAGAGAGGAAAGCATAGGCTATATCAGGACATAATCTTTAAAATAAGGATTTCTATTAAAATGTAAAAGGTTTTGTGATTATAATAATAACAGCGGGGCATTAAATAAATGCATATTTTCCGTGGAGCAAGCAATTTGAGGAAGTCTGCGATTTTTATTTGACGGAAGAAATAAACATATGATTGGAAAAAAGCCTATGCCGGTTATTAAAAAGAATCAGTCAGTATTTTCGTTTTGTAAAATAAATTAATTATTTAAGTGAAAATAATTTAGGGCATTCCTATTTATTTTATTCATTTTATTTAGATTATTGTGCTCTTCTGTGCTAAACACTGCAGGTGCGTGAAGATGTTGTTCTGTTCCGCTATTAATATATAAAAATAAATCAGTATTTTAAAATGCAATATTTAATGTGTCATACACAAAATAGACACGTCAATTTGTTTAATATAAAATTAATAGTAATCTGACCAGTTAACCGTTAATAACCGATTAATGAGCGGCGGTTGTCGGTTAGCAAAATTAAGGAAATGAGCATCCCTATTTAATTTACTTTTTCTATGCAAGAGAACTTGATTGAAAAATAATTTTCAACATGCTTGAACCATCTAAACAATGGAGTTTAGTTTGGTTTTTCAACAGTATTTTGTTACAAAGAAAACAGAAGTGATATAGCTTTGGTTATTTATTTATTTTATATATGGCTATTTATATTGTTAATAATTTGCAAAGTTAATATTGTTCTTTGATGTTTAGTTTATAAAGATTTTTCAAATGTTATTTAATTAAAAAATAGTTTTAAAAATCTTTCTTTTTCCCACCCCACACGAAAAAAATAAAATAAAAAATCGTGATACGAATCGAGGGTCAAAAATCGTGATACGAACCGAATCGTGGGTTTGGTGTATCGTTACAGCCCTAATATATATATATATATATATATATATATATATATATATATATATATATATATATATATATATATATATATATTTGTATTTGTTAAAAGCAACACAGTGCTTCCCACACTAGACTTTACTTATGTGGACCACTCAGGTACATTAAAGGCCACCTAAGTATATTTGGTGACTTTTGTTTTTTTACTATTATTATCATCTTTATTTTTTTTGTATTCTTCCATAAACCAAATTCCCGCGATTGATTAACCAGTGGAAATTCTTCTCTTGTTTACCGTTTGCTACTGCTGGTTCTATGTGTGCAAGAACTGTCAACACTGCCACAGACAGTCTCTCGTAGTATTAAAATTACTTTTGGAATCTCCTAAAATGTTTATATAACAATATTTTATACATATCTAAAATGTTTTGGCCATACTATACAAAATTACTATATTATTACTATACTATGCAACTATATAGCAGATTTAACCTGTCAGTGAGTGCACATGGCTCCCAAGCATAAAAGTTTTTTATTTTTTATTTTCCAACAGTCTGTTTTCAAAACTTTAACCCAGTGTCATAATAAATAAAAATATAGTTAAAAATTACATTGTTTTTTTGTTTGCCACATGTAGTTGATCATTTATGTGCTGTGGGTAAAAGGTGTGTTTTAATTCGGTACCACCCCAAGTATGTTCCGAACCTCTGGGAGACACTGGCAACACTGATGTACTGTGCGTTAACTTGAAAAATTGTGTGCAAACATAAGTAAGTGTTTTGCAAATATATTTGCCAAGGGGTTATTACATGGCCCATGACCTTAAAGGTATAGTTCATGCAAAAATGAACATATGCATTCCAACATGACATATGCGTTTCTTTCTTCTGTTGAACATAAAAAAAGGTTATTCTGAAGCAAGCTGAGAAACCTGTAACTATTGGCCTCCTTAGTAGAAAAAACTAATCCAATGGAAGTCAAATCGTTACAGGTTTCCATCGCTTTACATGCGCTTTTTTCAAATTTTTTTATTTTTATTGATTTTAGTGTAGGGTTATTTATTCAAGTTCGGCTTGGTAGCACTGACGAGTGTGGGCGGGACCGAAAGTCACGCTAACTTGTTGGATCGAGTGTTTACATGTGTTGAGTCCTGTGAAGGAGGTCAAGATGGAAAGTTTTGTTTTGTGTTTACCTTATGATTAAAAATTGTTGCACGTCCACCTGTTTCCGCCTCCAAATAAGCAAGTTTGATCTACTTCTAGATTAAGGTAGCATTCAGAAAAAAGAAAACCCAGCGAAGAAACTCGACACAGAGGAATATAAAAACCTACTGCCAGCTAGCATTTTGGAAGTGCTATTGCAGAGCAACATAAACAGCGCCTGAAGTATAAATGTACGACAATGAGCAAGGCATGCACCACGGGTTACATCGATCACTCGACGCAGAAGTATAAACCAGGCTTAAGCCGATGGAAAATGAATTCCATTTAAAAACACAATTTAGACATATTTAAAAATGTATATTTATTTGTTCATTTAAATGTTTATTTATTAACTTGCTGTATATTTTTATGCTTCAATTATTAAATCAATAATCTGATTCTTCATTTTATTTCTAACCGGCTCTCATGGTCTTCCATAAGTTTGATCATATGGGTATTTCCATACATACAGCATTCATATTGCTTATTGGCGTTTTTATTGCCACAGCATGTGCAACTTAGCTCAGCTGTATTAAAGTGTAAAATTGTTCCTAAACAAAGCCTCTGTTTCTGTCCTGTAGCTTCCTAAGGAGCAGAGTCCTGGTGGCTTTGAGAAGGGCATCGTCAAATTACTCAGTCGTGGCGATCAATGTGAATCCAGAGACCTGGAGAGAAACCTCAGGTGGGTCTCATGTTACTTTGTTAATAGTAATGTTACATTGTGTTGAATCCTTACTTTTGCATTGCTTTTCCACAGCTTCAAATCACTAACTGGCAACACTTAATGGTCCATTAATTAATGTATTCACTAACATGAACAAAAAAATTAGTAATACATTTATTGCAGTATTTATTTATCTGTTATTGTTAGCCAACATTATTTAAGCAAAACGACATTAGTTCATGTTAACTCTCTGTGCATTACCTAGGGCTACGTTCACACTGCAAGGCTTAGTGCTCAAATCTTAGATTTTTCTCAGATCTGATATTTTTTTGCATAGTTGTTCACATTGTTGTTAAATGTGGCCAATATCAGATTTTCTGTGTGAACAGATCATGGTCCTAAACTGACCCGCATGCGCAAAAGTACATTATGGAGAGCAAAAAATGTCTAATTATGCACACAATGCGTATACGGTATGAAGTAAGCATGTTGTCAGATTATGCTTAATATGATCATTGACTTTTTTACAGATAACCGTGGTGTGTTTCATGAACTGTAAAAGGGTGTTCTGCTACTACTAAGATATATTTCGTCATTTGAAGCCTAAAATAAGTCTCTTGTGATTGAAAACACTGATGATTTGTGTTTTTTGACAACCGCGGTGCGTGGCGCTCTGAACTCATCAAGGGTTATTGAGCAGCCGTAGACTGAACTGTGAAGGTGGAGTTGGTTTATCTCTGTTTACAGAGTTATTTCAGTTTACTTCGTTATAAGCAACAGGCATGTGCAGAAGGGGGATTGGGTGCTTGAGCACCTGCCCTTTTTTTTCTCTCGGAGAGAAAGTTTATCCTTATAATGAAAGTGCACCCTTCTTTGCGTACAGATCCCCTATCCGCAACACCCCCAGCGCTCTTCAGCTTCAGATTGGTTAACAAGCAGCAGTTTTGCCTTCAACTTTTTTTTCAAAATGAATAACCAAATTTCTGTGGTAAAGTATTTGCCCTGTGTGCCGTTCTACTATGCTGCTGAGGAGTAGACGATGTTTGCAGCAAAGAATGATGACACATGTTGCTCAAAGATTATGTAAAACTTGTATGAAATCCGACATAATCCGACATCCGACATAACTGTTAACACTGCGGTCGCTTGGCAAAACATCACATCTGTGTCTGATTTAATACTACATATGAAAGTGGCACCAATCTGAATTAAAGATCAGATTCCATGTGGTTTGGGCTGTTCACACTGTCAAGACAAAAACTGATCTGAGTCACATGTGGGTAAAGCAAAATCAGATTCGGGCCACATTTGCCTGCAGTGTGAATGTAGCCTATCAACAGGCACAACTTTAGATTTTATAAACGCATTAGTGACAGATTATTTATACTTAATATTAGTAAATACATGAAATAACTTTTACTAACGGACCATTATTCTAAAGTGTTACCAGGTAACTTAAGTATTTAACATAGATATATACACAAGATATCGCATAGGGACCCTGAGCATGCGTTAATAGAGCCGCCACATTGGTACAGTGCTCCCAGGACAAATGTAATTCAACCGCACTAGTCAAGACAGTGTTATTACGTGAAGATGCGGGACCTTAGCGCTGTCTACAGGTGTAGGAACGAGCAAACAAAGAAAACAAAGCACAAAGGCAGAACATTTCATAGGTCAGATTAAGTTTTTTACGTTTTTGTATGTTCTGAACTTTTGTGCTAAACAGGTAACGTTATTGATGATAATACAGTCACTTACCGCATTCACCATAAGGCAAAATAGCTCCAACTCACACTAAATAGTCGGCTTATGCTAGTTTTGTTTAATAAAATCAGCAAACAATGCAAAAGAAATATGACCAAGAGATGCTGCGGTGCCAGAAACATATTGTCTGCTAGTGAAGGAGTTGTTCATAACGGAGATTAATTCACAAACGAATCGCTCCCTCCGTCAGTATGAGAAGTGAAAGCAGGAGAGGAGGAGTGTTTCAAGACACGGATTAGATCAAATTTAACAGGGAGGGTGGATAGTACATTTCTGTGCACACAAACACAAGCTTGTCAGGAATGCCAGTGCGATCACTGATCCATCAATGTAGAAAAGTGATGTAAAATTATAATTTTCGTAATTAAAAAAAAGAATTTACATACTAACATCCAGGAAAACTCCCGATCATAGATATATGTGTATGTGTGTATATCTCTGGCTTTGGATGGCCACAGTCCTCCACTGTACCTTGGTCTCGCATTCATTTTAAAGGAGCGCTACCCTGTTCCAAAATGGCAGCTCTATTGACGCGTTCCTTCCAATAGACAACAACAGGGTATGCGACATCTAATGTATTTATCTATGAGTGTTTAAGTTTCTTTTTTTCTAAGTGATCTTTCTTTCCAGAAAGAATGTCCTATATCCCTGGTTATTACGTGTGTAAGTTCGATTTGAAGCACCATTAACTGCAATATAGGGCTGTGCAAAAATATCGATATATCTAACTATCGTGATAATTTCTTTCACGATAGTGTATCGACAGTCCAACCTGGAGTATTGATTCAAGTTGGGCCAAACAACCTCCTCCTCTCCTCTAGTAGATGTCGCTAACTCGCTATCAACAAAATGCTAAGTAGTATGGTATCAGAAGTAAGCAAGAGTGAGGATGGTGGGAAATATAAATGCGCCTCCAGCGTTTAGAACTGATGTGTGGCTGCACTTTTGTTTTAACACTTTACCAAAGTACTGAATTAGACAAAAAATGCCATTTGCAAGCTTTGCAAATCCATCTTAAAATAATAAGGAAACACAACGAACTTGCGTTATCACTTACCAAGACACCACGCAGATGAATTCGCGGCACTGGGACCCCAAACGAAACCTCTTGATTCAAGGCAAACTCATCATTAACAAGCTTCCGTCTACCTCAACTAACATTGCAGAGTTACTGAAAACTGCATTGGAGGAATGGGACATAAAATGGAAGGACCTGTCGTTAAAACAGACAACGCATCAAACATGCCGGCCAGCTGTGCTGCTACGGTCATGTTGCATGTAAAATGTTTTGCGCATGCCATCAATTTACCTATGTGCGACCAGTTTTTACAGCAAAATGTTCACGATGTTGTCAGTCGCACTGTCAGTTTTTAATAGTTTACTGCATATTAGAGCACTGTGTTCCAGTTTTATGTTTACTTGAAGCATTTAATTTTTTTTTACTTGCTTTTGTTTAATAGATTGTTTAATTTAAATGTGACTATAGTGGCATATACATTTTAGTTAAGTGTTTAATAACAAAATGCATTCAATACATTTCAGTAAGTTCTCTGTTCAATCACACTGTGCAGTTCTAATAAATTGAAATGGACAGAAAATAAATTGGAATTGGAATTTTAATTCGTCTCGAATTAATGTGTAGTTAACTGGTGATCTGGAACCTTTAGCCAGGACCGATTACTGTGAATATTTTAGATACATGATGATAATTATTTTTTAAAGGTCAATTTATTTCTTTATTTTTTAAAGAAATGTTTTGTTTAATAAAAAGTATAGTGCACAGCTATATTTTGCTTGTTTTGAGACATTTGAATTTTGGGACATTTGAATTTTTTATGTTTGGGGAGATAAATTTTTTTCACTTTTTTTTTTTTTTTTTCATTTCTTTCATTTTGAGCTTTGAAAAGTCATGTGAAATAACTAATTGTAATAGGACGCTATGAAACCATGACCCATTTGCTCATGCTCATACACATCACACAAAAAGTGAAGTGAAGGAGGAGGCATGTGGACATAACACACAATCTAAATCAAGTCATTTTAGCTTGTCAAAGTCAAATTTATGCATGTAAAATTTATTTTCCCAACAACAAAATTAGTGAAAATGCAGAGTGGCTAGTAATGTTGTAAAACTACTAGCCACAGTGGCTGGTGATCAAAAAAAGTTAATGTCAAACCCAGCTAATACCCCAACTCAAACCTGGCCTGACCATAGTCCAGATCACAAATGGTCAAATTTTCCATAGTGTAATAGTGTATATTGTCTTTAATTCTTCAGGGGTTAAAAGATTTGTATCAAATCAGTGAGCGGATTGTCAAAGAGAATCAGTGTTCAGTATTTGTTTTTTTGCACATGAAACAAAGTGTCCTTTTCAAGTCCTACAACACATGGCTGTATTTAGGTCAGTAACACTGATGTCAGGACCAGAGGGGATTCTACTTCCTGTAGCATAGTTTAGATGCAAGCAAAGATTTTGGTTGCTGATACCAGTAAAATAAATTGTCTATGTATGTGTATATTAGGGCTGTCAAATAATTAATCGCATCCAAAATAAAACTTATGTGTGTAAATATTGTGTATGTATATAAATAAAACATATAAAATACAAAGAAATACAAAACCTAATTATTTACATATATATTTATATATAATTTGTATTAGATTATAAATATTTAATGTCTAAATATTAGCTTTTTTCAAACTTATACATGTACAGTACACACTTATATTTTATGTAAATGCGAGCTTATATTTTGAATGTTTAATCTTTTAATAGATAGATTGTAAGTGACTGTATGTTTTAATACCTTTACCTTTTTTCTTTCTCATGTGCAGGGAGAAATTCCTGTCTTTATCACAGGATGTCCTTAGGAGATGTGACATTTCCAGGTTCTTCCTGTCTGATGCGTCTGTACTGCCCTGTAGCCACTGTGAGGAACCTTCCCAAATCAGAAAACATTAAGCTTGTAATCATTAAACATCAGCTTGGCAAGATCTATGTGTAATGCTACTTGTCAAACCGCTCATGTCTGTAGGTACCAGTGCGCCCGTAGCCAGAATCCATCAGCCTGAACGAGGTTTTTCTGAGGACTGCTCTGAGACTTCCAGCCTGGAGGAGGGTGAGAGAGAGAGATGCAGACCTGTCAGATCTGCCCTAGAAACACACGCCAACACACATGCAAGTGCTAATGCTGCTCTGACTGCTACAATCTCATCTGCGTCTCTCTTCTTTCTTTTCACAGATGTGGAGGCATACAACATCAGAGCTGCAGGATTAAGGTAGAGCAGCAAATAAACAGATTAATGCTTCTTATCAGAAATCAAATTAGTGACTGAAGGAATTTACATTGCTACAAAAAAGTCTTTAGAAGAAAAATATATAAATATAAAGGATTAAAAAAAGGATTTCATTCAACAAGCTGGAAAGCAGTCTGATCAAAAAGTGACAGTGAAGACGTTTATGATGTTACAAAAGATTTATAATACAAATAGATGCTGTTTAAAAATTTGTTCATTATAGAGTCCTGAAAAAAATCACCTTTTCCACAAATATTAAGCAGCGCAGTTGCAACCCTTTCTTACAATCACTCTGTTACATCCCCTCCGTTACTTTTAATGGTCGAGGGAGAACGAAAAGGAAAACATTAGTTTCCTCTTGGATTTTTTCCAGCTGTGGCGGCAGGTCTTTCACACAAATCTACCAACTACCTGGGGCGTTACTTCAATGAAAAATGGAGAAATGTCGTGAGTGCAGTATAAGTTAAGATCTCTTTTATGTAATATGAGCATGCAAATCTCTTTGCTTGCAAGCCGATTTCCTCTGTTCATGCACAAAACTTTTTGCACGCCCTAAAATATACGCTGCTCAAGCGCAGATCTTCTTGTGCGCTCTCAAATAAACACTGCTGAAGTGTGATTTGGTACTTCCTGAAGCAAAGTGAAACGGCAATAAACTCCAGCAAGATAAAGTCATTGTATGCAGAACCACAGATCTTTATCTATAAATAAAGTATAATAATGGAAACTGTGTTCATCATAACTGAAAGCTATGTCGTGTTTGCAGGCTCATGCATCACGCCCCTGTCAGTCAGTCTATCAGCACGTCACCTTAAAGGGTTAAACAAATATCGCACAGCACTACTACGGTTACAGAAAAATTTGCGCCGTTATAATTTACTTAAGTTTAAATGTGTTTTGGTGCGATTTATAACCCGCTATTAAAAAACAACAATGACTGAATGTTTTAAATGAGAAGCTGTAATGTAGCCATGGCGGGATGAATTTTGGTGTGGTGCCACGCCATGGCAGAATGAATGTAAACCATGTTGTTGTAATTATTCCTGCCATTTTATAATAGATGAGGAACAACAAGACACAAAAGTACTATTTAAGTGAACTTGTTTATTATAAACAATCTTTGGATGTCTAAATGCTTAAAGAAAAATTAAGTTTCACAAAAAAGTATATAAGAAATAACAATTTCACAAAAACTTTTTTAACCAAGTTTAACAAGCATAAGGAGGAAACGAGACTGAGCCAAACAAAAGAAAAGAATAAAACAAAAATCTACTAACTAACCCATTAAACTTTTCCCCTAGAACTACAAAATCATTAATTTTCTGGTCGGCATAGTCCGGGGTCGCCACAGTGGAATGAACCGCCAACTTATCCAGCAAGTTTTTACGCAGCGGATGCCCTTCTAGCCGCAACCCATCTCTGGGAAACATCCATACACACATTCACACACTCATACGCTATGGACAATTTAGCCTACCCAATTCACCTGTACCGCATGTCTTTGGACTGTGGGGGAAACCGGAGCACCAGAAGGAAACCCACGCGAACGCAGGGAGAACATGCAAACTCCACACTGAAACGCCAACTGAGCTGAGGCTCGAACCAGCGACCTTCTTGCTGTGAGGCGACAGCAATACCTACTGCGCCACTGCTTCGCCCTTAACTACAAATTAAACAAAAGTAAACCTTAAATGTCCGAGACTCTCTCCTTCCAAAGCAAAACTTACAAGTGTGGCACAAATCCGTAACCTAGTGTGAATAAATAAAAGAATGCTTTGTGTGCCCCATGTACAGTTAAAGTCATAATTATTAGCCCCCCTTTGATTTTTTTTTTTCTTTATTAAATATTTCCCAAATGATGTTTAATAGAGCAAGGACATTTTCACAGTATGGCTGATAATGTTTTTTTCTTCTTGAGAGTCTTATTAGTTTTATTTTGGGAAGAATAAAAGCAGTTTTTTACAAATTTTTAAAAACATTTTAAGGACAAAACTATTAGCCCCTTTAAGCTAATTTTTTTTCAATAGTCTACAGAACAAACCATCATTATACAATAACTTGCCTAATTACCCTAACCTGCTTAGTTAACCTAATTAACCTAGTTGAGCCTTTAAAAGTTAATTTAAGCTGTATAGAAGTGTGTTTAAAAACATCTAGTCAAATATTATTTACAGTCATCATGGCAAAGATAAAATTAATCAGTTATTAGAAATTAGTTATTAAAGGGTCATGACACCCCCCACTTTTGGTTCAGGTCTACCTCAGAATTTTTTCAGAAGATGCATCATAATGAGCAAGGAGCTCCGCGAGCAAAGGACAGGAGTGGGTGTGGCCAGCAGAGCAGGGGAGAAGGAGGGGAGCGAACTGTTGTGTTGTCAGTTATCTCACAAAATGAGACACGGGGCTATCGGAGGCTAGCTAGCGAGTTAAGTGCTGTAGAACTGGTGGGTTTGTCACAAACACGAGGGGGCTTGTCCGGGATGGGAGTGGGGTTTAGTGAGTTGAGTGTAACGGAGGCCAGCTAGCGAAGTGCTATGCAGGTAAACCTCCCTTCTTTGACCTCAAAAGGTGCTTTAGCGACAGATGCTAGGTCCATAGTTTTAAACCTTCTTGTTAGAGCAACTGACTCCCATACAAAGAATCGTCAGTTCGATCCCAGCTCAGACCGGGTTGGGTGCAGTAGGTCTGTTGGGTTACATCAACTTAATTTGTACTTGGAACACTATTAAATCCATTTCTTTTAAAGGATAAGATTGTTTGTCAGAACTGTAAAGATAAAAAAATCATGTTTCAAAAACGCTAAACAATCTTAATGTCTGAACTGTAGCATACAATATTTTTTTATGTGATTTTATGCTTTAAGCTATCTTTCTTTAAAATATCTGAAATGTTTATTAATTTGTTATCTGATGTTATGACATCCATATATTAAGTGTGACTGGAGTATCCAAATATTACTACTGGGACCACTGTATGTGATTAATAACAGGTCGGTCCTGTAGAGTAACCTGTGTTTACTGGCTTCTCCTGTCATGTAATGGCTCTTCCTCTCAATACAGTAATCAGCGCTCTGAATGCCAGAGAAGAGGAAACTGTGAGCAGAATGGAGAGAGAGTTTGGAAGAAAGAGAATGAATTGGAACAGGTGAGACTGTGAAACTTTCACCCTTTATATTGTTGAAACAGCATATTACTGGCAGTATGGATACAGTGCACACAGTGAACGGTTTCTAATGCATATCATCTACTCCAGACTATTGATGCTGCATCCTACAGTTTAATTGTCTGAGGCTCTGACTAATTAGTCGTTCTGAATCAGTTAATAATATCAAAATGTATATGTTTTGAGTTAGCTATTTTCTATTTTCATTCAGTGTGTTTGCAGATACTTAAAAAGCTTAAATTCCATAGTATAAACCCTTAAATCTTGTCTTAAATCTGCATTTCAAAGGTCTTAAAATGCTATTGAACAGACCACGCAAAGATGATTTTGTTTTCGTTTATGACATCTACTTAAAAACTTTGTCCATTTGTCACCCAGAATAAAATATGCCAGTGGTTCTCAACCACCGGGCTGCAGACCGATAACGGTCCGTGAACAACCTTTTAGTTTGAAAATTCTTTTATTTTGAAAAATTACCATTCTCTCGGTTACATCTTGATCACTTGGGCGCCCAAATTTAACCCATAAGCAGCAAAATAAGTAAGAAACAGACATCTTTGGAAAGTTCCAATGTTAAAGGGGAAAAGGCCCAGTGAAGGACCTGCGACCTGCCAAGTAATGGATCCGCAACCCTTGTCAACAAATCAGGTGAATCCAGCATGACTGTGCAAGAAGATTGCACCGATCCTTTCTAGAGTTTGCACAAGTTTGTTGTTTCCAAAGGAGGTGCGCAGCACGCCCTCACCTTCCAGACGCACACAGTTAAATGACTCCCTCGAGTCACGTGACAAAAATTGAACGATGTATGGACAGCTTGTATGGAATATACACATTTCAGTAATACTAATTATCCCAGATAAACACTGAACACCAAAACACTGTTGTGCTTTGTAATTTTCTCCATAAATAAAACTTGTCAACTGTTGACCGGTCCGCTGTGATAAAAAGGTTGAGGACCACTGAAATGGGTGAAACTCAATAAAATGCACGCTCACAGGGATTTCGCTTATGTCAAGGGTTGACCGGTGATTCTGTTGCTCACCCAATTATTATTATTGTTATTATTATTACAATTATTGTTGTCGTTGTTATTATTATTATTATAAGTTCTTGGAAGTCAGTTGAAAGACTGTTTGGAGTTTTTTTTTTTTTACTCTTTCTATATATAATAAAGTGTTAAGAATGTTAATTAATTAGGTGTATTTATTTTAATTTTTTTTTTTGCAAATTCTGTACTATACTATTCTTATACTATGAAATTGGTCTCAATTGCATTCTGTGTGGTATTACAATGGTCTTAAAAAGTCTTAATTATAACTCTTAGAAACCTGCAGATACACTGTCAGTTAATTTGTCTATGAGGAAATGACTAGGAGTAGTAAATGGCAATAAATGGTCAAACTGCTTGGCTTAGCAAACAACTGTGTAAATGACAATACATAAAGATAAAAATAATAGGAAAAAACAAGTTTGCAACATTTAGTATAACAAGATGTTTTTACAGCTAAAAGTCAACGGAGGTCAATAAGATCATCTCCAACCAATCAGGTTCCAATGGCTGTACCCACTTGTGCATGAAAGAATAAAGCCAGTAAGGCTGCAATTTAAATACCATTAAAAATCATTATCCCAAAATTATAATGACGAGTATCAACAAAAGAGAAACTTTAAGGCTTGACAGTTTTATGTCATAATAAGTGACTTTTCTATTGAAAGTGAATTGAAGAAAGTGAAAGTAAATATCATTTAGTTTTTCTACTACTAATTATATTTATTATTAGTTTCCATTATAAACAATTATGCATTAAACCAAAACTGTACAGCAAAATAAGCACCGCAAACCTGCATCACAAATTTAAATACATTAGACAAATAATAATTTAAATGATGAGGCACGTTGAACTTACAAATTCATTCTGTTTTTCTGCAGAACTGCACCAATGACAGAAGAATCTTCACAGCTGGACAGAAGAACAAAGGACGATCTGCTGGAAAACGGTACACAAACACATACCGGCACTGACTTTCCATTGATATAATATGACGCATGCAAAAACAGATTTCAGGCAGTTGCTGTGTGCTCTGTGCTTATGTGCTCATGGCTGCAGTACTGCTGTGCTGTTTTTTTAGAGACAGAGTCCGGCGAGTGACCGCTGTCAAGACTTCTAATGGGATCCAGAAACCTTCTGCAGCACTGATGATCAACCAGGCAGCTTGCAAAGGTTTTCATGTCATAATTAAAAAATATTTTGTGTGCATATCCAAATACATGTAACTATCAGGCTGTTTGCTCTGGTTTGTAGATGCAGGAAGGGACCGGTATGGGGACACGTCATCAGAGAGCTCAAACTCTGTGCCATCCAGCCCTGTTCACCAGAAGAGCCTGGAGGACCAAGGTTGCATTTGAGCTCATTTATATTTTAGCCAAAGTGTTTTACAAAAGAGAAACTAAAGTAATGGCAAAAAGTTAGCCAAGAAAATTGAGTAGATTCTGGCTTATTAGCAAACTAGATTAGGAAGCAAATCAATTTTCAAAGAGGTTTAAACAAAAATTCTGTAATTTTCTCGCCCTCATGATGGAACAGAACTTAAAAGGTTTTCTCTTTTCATCTGAAACAAACTATTTTAGCAGTTTAGCAAACACAGTTACATTTGACTTTCACAAACACAGTCACATCTCAGACTGGTTTCTTTAACATGGCAATAAGTTCACTGTACTCAGATGGCCTCTACAGTCACCAGATTTCAATCCAATAGAGCACCTTTGGGATGTGATGGAATGGGAGATTGGCATTATGGATGTGCAGCCAATATGGACCAAAATCTCTAGAAAACTAGATTAGAAAGCAAATACATTTTTTAAGAGATTCATACATAAATTCAGTCATTCACTCGCCCTCATGATGGACCAGAACTTGTCCAATCTGAAACACAAAAGATTTGAGCAGTTTGGCAAACACGGTCACATTTTAAGAAATATTTGCATGATTTTTGTATCCTATTAATAGTTTTCTATTTAAATATTTTTATTTACTTTTAATGTATCCTTCGTTTTAGTTTTCCTACCTTTAGTACGTCAACAGCTGTATTTAATTGTTATTTTATTTAATATATTTATAGTTTTAGAAAATAGAAGTGCCGAGCTACACACATTTGATGGCTTCAAGTAAAAAGTAATAATTCCTCTTATTACTTTTATTTATATTACTTTAAATGGATTGTTCAGTGAAAAATGAACCATTTATTCACTCTCCTGTGGTTCCAAACTTTTACGCGTTTCCTTTTACTGTCAAATGCAAAAGAAAATTATTTGAAGAAAGCTGCAACCACTGACCCCCATAGTATGAAAAACAAAAACTGTGGAAGTCAATGGTAACCGGTGTTTCCCAGCTTTCTTTAAAATATTTCCTTTGTGTACAACAGTAGAAAAAAAACTCAAATAGTTTTGGAACTAGTGAAGTGAAGGTGAGTAAATTATGACAGAATTTTCAGTTTTGGGTGAACTATCCCTTTATATTATAAAAAGTTGGATATGTGCTTCCAACTTTTACAAATGTCCTTTTTCAGTTAAACACAAAACATTTTTTTTTTTAAATGTTAGACACCTATAATATTTGTTACTAGTTTCTAACATTGTTCCAAATATCATCTTTTGTGTTCAGCAGAAAAAGGAAACTCTTAAAGGTTTGGAAGCACTTAAAGGCTGAAAAAAATACCTTTTTCTTTTTTGGCTGGAATATCTCTTTAATATCTTAAAGTAGTGGTGTAATGGATCACAAATCTCACAGTTCAGATCACACTGTGGTTTTTAAGTCATGCATCGGACCATTTTTTGGATCAACAAAAAAATGGAGGAGACATATGTCATTTGCTTTCCATTCATACAAAAATATTACTGCAATAACCACTGGTTTTAACAAACTTAACTTAGAACCTGTAATTTTATTCAATTTATTTTCCCTTAACTTTATTTTTTTTTACATTAAATATTTTGCAGAACTTAACATCAGTGACAGCAGCAGTTATATATTAATAATAATAATAATAATAATAATAAAACAAGTAACACTACCAGTAAATAAAAACAATAATTTTCAAATTTCAAAGGATACAGCTGGGAATACTGTCCTGTTGCCATGTTCAGATACATAGTAACAGGTGCCAATCTTCATTTAAAATTATCCAATTTCAATTGAAGTTGAGCAGTCATAAATTCCATTGTATATATTGATTCAAGTTTTTCCATCCACTGTGCTATTGTTGGAAGGTGTGGCCTCATCCAGTTTATTGTTATAGTCTTTCTTGCACTTAGTAAAAATATATGTCGTAAAGAACCTGTAATTTTAATAAAATTTAAAATGAAGAAAAGAACCAGCTGAAAAAAAGAAAATATTCAATACGAAAAATTATATTTGTTTCTGTTGCTAATAATGCTAAATATAGAAATCTAACATATTTTACAAGATATTATATTTATCTTTAATTAATGGTTTAACAATTCACTCATAAAACTTCATGTTTCATTATAGGTGGATCATTTTTGAAAATCTATTCAGTGACATAATTTTGATGGTTGTTTGTTGCCACCCATTGGTTACACAGTGCAGTTGCTACAACCATCCACCAGCGTCAAGTTCCATCTAACAGTGATTTTAATCTTTACCATTAACATTGGTGTTTATATCTGAACTATATCTGAATCTCTCTCAATTAAACACAGATTTGAATGTACTGCTTCGAAGGATAAAAAAACAAAATCATTATAATTTATCATTCATGTTGCGCAAGTTTAAATTGAGATCTTTTTTTATATTTCATTGTACAGCTTTAAACCAAATGCATTAATGCAGTGACCGAAAACACCTTTAATTAATAACCTAAAAAAGCATTTAAGTAGATCTCACCACAACCTTTCCGTCATCATTATATTTTACAGGAAAGCCAAATGCTTCCATACATGTGACTTGAATAACGCCCCTACCTTTTATTTATTGACATTTTTAATTACTTAAGTTATCTCATAAAACCTGATAACATCTTTTACTCCGTGTCTCTTCAGATACTGAGAGTCAGTCTGATAACTCGGCCCAGGAGCCAACTGAAAAGACTCAACCCACCAAAGCCGTTGGCGGCAAAGCAGTTGCCATGGTGAATCCACTAGTTGCCGAACCCCAGAATGTCCCGCAGACGCCTTCAGTGGTAGAACTGGCACTGACCGCATGCCTCCCCTACTCCCTTCAGTACAACGCCACCCAGAGGGATGCTGGCCAGGGTCAGATAACCATCACTATCCCGTTGGCCCAAAACCCAGGAACATCATCATCCGGCACTCAGCCACAGCAGCAGCCACCGCTTGGGGCGTTCAGTGTCCTCTCCGCTGGTCAGTGTCCTCTGCAGCCTGCCAACACCACCACGGCCAATAGTGCCATCAAAACAAACCCAAAGGCCTCCATTACTGCCAGTGGCCCCTCCAGCTCATGCAGTGGTCAAGTACCCATAGCTTGTCCTACAAGTGTACCCACACACACCCCAGGCCCAGCGCCCATGCCTGCTCCTGCAGTCACACACAGCACCGCTCCGAGCGATTCTTTGTCCTACATCAACAGCTCCAGCTTACCAGTAACACCATTGGCTAGTGGGACGCAACAAGCAGGAGGATGCAACACCTGCGGCTGCCGGGGCACCTGTGGAGGCACTGGTGCCCATCAAACACACAGCTACTTCCTGCCACCCCAACCTGCCCGACAGATGTTTGGGCCGCCGCCGCCTTTCTTCCACCTTCCTCCATCTCTATGCAATAGTTTCGCAGCTCAGGGTCACCAAAATAACGGGACGCCTCTGCCCTTCTATGCCCACTCGGGTCCTCCTGCTGCATTCCTGCACGCTCACTCTGACCACTTGCTGGCATCGCAGGCAGGATACAGTCTGCCTCAGATGACCCCCTTCCATCGCTTCTACCCACCTGTGTTTCCACCGGTCGGCCTGATGTCAGGAGGAAACAACCTGAAGAAGACCAACAACGTGTCCTGCTATAACTGCGGCATGAGTGGACATTATGCTCAAGACTGCAAGCAACCATCCATTGATGCCGGGCTGACAGGCAAGTATGCAAAGACAGATACTAAACCTTTTTTTTTTTTTTTTTAAACATGCAGGTCCAAACAAAGATAGATTTTTAATTTTGAGCATTAAAACAGTTGACATTTGTAAAATGTCTTTTTGTCGTCTCAGCAATAATATAATGACTGCTATAAAATATGTACTTTGATTTAACGTAGACTAACCATTTTCCGTAAACAACGATGTTCTATACAGTTTACCTTTTAACGCCAATCTCTGAATAAAAACTTAGGGTGGTAGACACCCAATATATCTATCTAATCTTTATTTCTCACTCTTTCACCTATGAGCACAAAAGAGACCCTCCTACCATGTTTCAGAGAAAATTGACGAAGTTTGCTACGTCCACCTAATGTGCTTGAAAATAGACAGTGGGCAGACTAAAGGGGTGAGTGTCGCTTGGGAGGGGAGACATTTAGAGCAATGACAATATGCATTTGCATTTAATATATGCATTTGCATTTAACACAGTATTACAGTCTTTAAGAAATAAATATTATGTTATTATAAATTGTTTAAAAAAATGATCTTTTGTAGAATAAATGCTTTGAAATGGGGATATTTAAACCCCAGCTGTAGGTGATGACCTAATGGTGCAACCCTCCGCCAGAGAGAGCCTGATAGATGGCTGCAAACGCTGTTTGGATAATCTTTGTTCAGTGATGTTTATACTGAAAAAGGTCAATTAAGTTAACGTTAATTTGCATGAAGTTAATGTTTTTATATCTTAAATTGTCATGCAGTAATAAAATAATTATGATTAAAAAAATGATTGTAAAGTTATTTCATTTAAAACTTTCATTAAAGGTTATTAAATATAACATTAACTTTAAGTTAAACACAACAAAAGTATATTGTGACATTGGTTTTTAATAAGACTTAAAACAAGTGTTCATTTTTGGCAGTGAATTGAAGTTATGCGCCCTATACGGAACCCCGGTAACACCTATCATCTTCTGTACACGTGTAGGTGGTACTTTTCCCATCTTTTCTCAATAAATACTGATCCAAAAGACATCAATCAAAATTTGGATTGTGCAATAGGTATAAGCTTGTTCGTGACGTATTGAATACTCTTTCCGGGTCCAAGCCGCTACTCATTTGAATTGAGAAAAAATTCGCTTATGGCCACTTTTTAGTCATATCACACTTTAAGGTGAATTTTATATAGAATCATAGTGTACACATTGGTCTTGGACTTGATGCATCACAAATACCAAAATTTTAATAATTTATAATAAAAATCATCTATTAGGCATGGATATACATTGCGATTGTGATTTTATTGAAAGTATTACATCGCTTTGTAAACGTTAACTATTACTATTTGATGAGCTTCCCCTCACAAAGACGGAGGAGTGGTCGTTTGAGTGCGCTGAATAGCAAAAATTGTACTGAACATGGTTAGTCTACGTTACAGAAGACACCCTCTAAAGTGTAATGGAGTGTACCAATTATTTATATACCAAAATAATCTACATGAGTATGCAAACACAGATGTTTTTTTAATTTCTCAAAAAACAAAAATTACTTGCAGGTTAAAGACAAAAAGTGATTTAATTTTAAGTTTAATACATCTTTCTTTTTCATTTCATACATTAAAATATGCCATTTGTTTTCTTTTACTTCCCCACTTTCCTTCAAACCACTAGGTTTTATTCATTGATCAGCTGGAAGTTTTTAACAATTTTTACATTAGATCAATACCATTGTCTTGCACTGAACGACAGTAAAACATTATTTTACTATTTTGAGTTCATTAAAACATCGACTTGTCTTGCATTTAACATGCTTTCCATGTATATAAAATCTCTTTTGCAAACTTAATTTGATGTAGAAATTTGGTAACTAGCTCTGGTTTCCCCCACAGTCCAAAGACATGCAGTACAGGTGAATTGGGTAGGCTAAATTGTCCAAAGTATGTGTGTGTGTGTGTCTGCGTGTGTGTGAATGAGCATGTGTGGATGTTTCCCAGAGATGAGTTGCGGCTGAAAAGGCATTCGCTGTGTAAAAACGTGCTGGATAAGTTGCCGGTTCATTCCGCTGTGGCGACCCCAGATTAATAAAGGGACTAAGCTGAAAACAAAATGAATGAATGAATTTGGTAACTAGTGCTAATGTTAATTTCAGTGTGTAACACAAGAGACCGCTCTGCAGTAGCAATATGAAAGTAGTACGTTCATTAAAAAAAGATCAAACAAACCGTGGTGTAAGTTATTGACCTTCTGCAATGAGCATGTAAGCTCTGATGGCAGTGTCCGCTTGTAACGTTAAGTGAAAGAATAAGGTCAATAAAGCAATCACAAATGTAACATTATTATATTTATAAAAGTAAATATCTTGCTTATCACTCACCGTTGTGACACTTTAAACCCAACAGACTTTCGTCCCTGATGTTTGAGGGACGTATGGTAATGGACGACCTGTAAAAAAATAAATGTAAAGTACCAAAGTCTCACACACATGCACACAGGTTTGTTATTGTGAATTGTGGGGACATTATAATGACCATTTTGAGAGATGTAAACAATAACAATGGTCCCAATGTTTTTGCTGTTTTACATTTTTCATTTCCATAGCTTTAGAGAATCCAAAAAGAGCCACATATTGATACATAATGTTATAATAGCTGTTTTAACATTGTTATGATTTGCCTTTTTTTAGTTATGAAATAGTTTGATAACAAGCAGGAAATGTCCGTGAGCCAATGACATGACCACATCGAAATGGTCATGGGTTTCTAATGTTTTTATACTGCACAAACTGTATTTTGTATTGCACTGAACAAAACCCTTATGGGAAATTGCGTACAGTTGGCAATGTCCTCATATTTCTCCACTTTCTTGTAATACCTGTCTGTCATACCTATGTCATTATTAGGGATGCACCGATCCCGATACTTGGATCAGATATCGATTCAGTACTGCATATTTTTGCTGGATCGGGTATCGGCCAGCTGGTACCGATCTAAATACGATCTTTCTGCGTTTATAAGCCAACTAAGCCATGAAGGTAGCCTATTAAAAGACACTAGAAAGTTGTCATAGGCCTACTATATCCCGAATGTTCTGAAACCATTCTACAGTTTAATGTAAAGCACAGATGAATATTCACACAGTTAAATTAATGTTCACTTCAGTGCGTTCCTCTGCCGCGCCTGTCAATCATTTTTAATTCATTCACTAATCAAACTGCGTGTCGCATTCATGACAACATGAAAAACTTTCTCCAAGACTATTTGTTTCTGTTAGTTTAAAAATTAGTGGGGAAATGGATTTGGTTTTGTATTAAATGGGTTCATTTCGATTTCTAAGTTATGTTGCGCTGTGTGTTAGATCAGTATATCGCATTCACAACACTGGAGTAGAGATGCATGGTTACTACTTTTTCAGTGTTACTAACGACGAGATTTGGGGAGGGAAAACTGGCCTTGGAAAGTTTAGTTTAGCCTGCGTCAAACCTTTGGGAAAATATTGGGCTTTTCTAAAGGTCTGATTATTTTACCAATGGTTAGTGTCAATAGTGGTAGTCTATTACTGGTTTTAAAGAAAAAAAGACAAATCTTAATATTAAAAAAGGAAACACAAGCTGGACCACAACAGATCAATGTCATAACAACTGCTCAAATAATGTAGCCTAGTTTACAGCAAGCATCATGTCTGTCATGTATAGTAGGCCTTTAGTTCTGTTATTTTTACTAAAGATGATATATTATATGAGTTTAGCACCAGAGCTATATTATGCTTAGAAAATAACTGAATCTGTATCGATCGATACTCCGAATTTTGGTATGGAGATTTGATCAGTTAAAAAAATGGCATAGGTGCATCCCTGTTCATTATACATATTTGTGTACTGATAAAACACACATAAGCACATACACACACTTACTTGCACATTAATCCAAGTTGTTTTAAGTCAAATATTTTGTGAAGAAGTTCTCGTCGTTTTCCTTCAAACCATTTCTTTTAATTCCCTTTAACGTTAGATTGTAGTTAACGTACCTTTATTTTGAACTTCGCGCGCTTTGACGGCCGTTTGTATCGCTTTACTTTGCTTTCGGTTTTGTCGTTACCGATAATTAAATGTAAAACGTGAACAAGATTGAATTATTTTTCCTAAAAATACTTTGCGAGATGTGCTTGGCATTTTTACACCCTTAAATGCGCTCGTGTGGCGCTGTGACAGAAACCCGCCTCAAGATGGCGGTAGTGTAACATTCAAATATCCTGTTTACGTACATGTTATCAGTCTTGATGCTTTTAATACTCACACTGACGCTTTTTCTGTATGTTTCAGGTGGTTACCGGCTGAAGTATGTTGCCCCAAACTCCTCAGAAGCACTAGATAAAAATGATTGACATCAAGCAGGGGACCAAAGGCCTGTCAGTCAGCGATTTCAGAGACCCTTCAGACTTTGTCCAAGCATCCTCGTCCAGAGAGGTTTGCTTTAAAAAGAAGCAATGCCAACTACACCGTTGCTAACTTAATGGCTTTTCTCTTAGGATTTAAATTATCTTAATGTTATAGTTTAAAGAAATAGGATGGGTTTGTTTTTGTTTTAGGCTCAAAATAACTAGTTTATTGTTGTCAGAAGGAATTTTTATATATAAGCTGACGTTCTCATTAGCGGAGTTGATGAGAAAATTAAGAAACTTGAGTCCTTCAGTGCAGTATTTTTGGTTTCTGACACGGGTGAATCTTTATAGGCTTTTTATACAAGAGAAAAACGACAAGGAGAAAAAAAAATACTGTCAATGATTATTTTGGAAGTTCTCGTTTTGTTATTATGCAGTTCTCTGAAGCGTATAATGATGCTCTTGCGACATTATACACAGTTGGTTTGTCATTTTCTGAACGTGATGCACTACAAATGTTGATCTCTGATAAAAATGTGAGTCGTGTTTATTTGAAATGCACTGAAACCCCAAGAATCTACAGTACTGCCTCTCATTGACATGCTCTGATCATATAGGGCACCTGCAGAATCAGCCCTAAATTCATGTAGGAGAATCTACGGTAGTTCATCCCTTCAAAAAAAAATATTAATCAAAATTTGTGGTCAATTTAAACAACCTCAGGGCATTTAAGATGTAGGTGAATCTTTGATTTTGATTTCAGAAGAGCGTTAAAGAAAATTTGTAGCTGCAAAAAAAATCTATATTATCACCACAGACTGATTCATTTGTCAACTATTGTCAGAAGCCACAGTTGTTAAATGGATATTTTACCCAGAAATGATAAGTATTTACCATTTACTCACTCTTAAGCAGTTATAAACATGTTTATTCTGTTAAAGAAGCATGCTGGAAACCTATAACCATTTTATAATATAGAACTCAATGGTTACTTTCTTCAAAATATCTTCTTTTGTGAATAACAAAATCAGGTTTGCGACTACCGAAGAGTGAGTAAATGATCTGAGAATCTTCAGTTTTGAGTGAACTATCCCTTATTCTGTGTTTTGATCCACTTTTTAATGTTTACTTGCATTTTTTGAATCCTCGAGCAACATTGTTTGAGGAAAAAAATCTTATTTAATTCCTACAACAACAAATAAAACGTGACCTACATCTTGAATGACCTGAGAATGAATAAACTAACAGCAAATTTTCTTCTTTTGTCATCGTCGTCGTTGTTGTTGTTGTTAAGCGGTCCCTTTAAGTGTTCTGAATCTTTCAAAAATCCTTGATGAATATCCTAAAGCACTGTTCGAGCAAATGTGGTTTTGACATTTGAAATTCTAGCCAAAAGGAGTAAATAAAAAAAAAAGATTTCGTTAACATAGGACAACTCTTTGAGCATCTATGATATCTGCTTGTGTGTTGAAAATCATATTTCTCAGTCAAAAGTACCAGAAGGCGAACGTTTGTGCCTATATTGCCATGCAAGCAGCTAGACGTGTGTTGAAAAGTCTTAATTCTTCTGTGTTTAAAGTACATATTTAACATTTCTGAGATCTTATTGCAATTTTGCCAAAGCAGCCCTAAAGTTTTCTTTTTATATATCTATATATATATGGAGATTTGGCATGTTTGTATTGAGAAAATAATACATGAAAGGATTTTATTTTGATATTTTCAAGAGATTTTTGACGAAGGGCTTTCTTTCGAGCTTTTCGTGCTTGTCCAGGTGTTTTTAAGCACATTTCCGGTTCGTAACATGCGATTTGAGTGTATAACCGATTTCCACAAGCGCAGTGTGTTGCAGGTTTCTAAACGTGCATTCGTTCGGTTTGGTAAATCGTTACTAATCTGTAAATAGATTCTAAAGGGAGTGAACTACTCGAGGTTGGAGTCTGTCGACTGTATTCGTTACACTTTTTTATTTTATAGATTTATGAAGCTGTACTGTATGAGCGAGGTTTGGTATCTGCCTCTGAGTTTACGTTTACTGTATTTCATATGCAAATGTTGATTAATCTGTACTGAGAGGTCAAATTAATCTGGTTACATTTGCATTTTTGGGGTGCAGATTTGATCGTTTATGTCAAGATATTAGCAATAAACGGAAAAAACTCATTTTGTTGGGTTTCTTTTGATGGGATTGGATGTACACACACACACACACACACACACACTAGATTCAGATCCTGTGTTATTTTGATAAAATGAACTTCTTTTCCTAACATCATTTGATCTTACTAGGGCTGGGCAATTTGGCCTAAAATCAAAATCTCGATTAATTGAACATTTTTAACTCTCGATAAATAAACGATTATTTTATGTTTTTGTATAAGATTTACTAAGTTTTGTATAGTAAATCTCACATATTACAAGTGAGAAGTGTAGGGTGCATTGTTTGATTTTAAATTAATTGAAGTAAACACTATTTACTATCTATGATTAGTTATTGAACATTAACGCTGAACAACTAATAAAACACACATTAAAACAGAAAAAATAAATAAATAAAACAGACATTGACTAAAACGTGACTCCGCTCCACCCACTCTCATCACCACTACCAAACTGACCAATCACAAAGCTTTGTGACGTGTAGGTAAATTTTTTTGAGAGGTGCGCGTGTGTGCGAAGGCTGCGCCAGGCCGAATGCGTTCGCATGGCATAAGTATATTAGAATAATATAATAAATATAAATCATCATATTATAATAGTATAAATTAGCCTTAACAGAGCAGGGTCACGTCACTCCACAAATGGTAGGGAAAGTAATTTAAAAAAATTGACCTGGAGAAATTAGATCGATTGTAGGTTCTCAATTTCGATTACTTTTCGATTAACTGCCCAGCTCTAGATTTTACTGAAATTTTCACATGAATTTGATTTGACTTTTTTAAAGCAATACCAACCCTGATTGTGATTAATATTATTTATCTGCATTAGTTAACATCAATGAATAATATTTCCACAACAATTAATAATATTAATCTCAGATTATAGCAATAATACCACTATTGCATTTCTAAACATCGCTGTCAAATATAAACATACTGAGGTCACCATCAAGGAGATTTCAATTAACTCTTAAAGGCTGTTGGGGATGTTTTCATCCGCTCTGGGGTGATTTTTGAGTCTTAATTTGGCCATAATTTTCTCTGTTTCAGCTAGCGAAACGATTTTTGGTCTTATCAAATCTTATTTTGACACATATTTTGAGAAAATGCTTTGAAATTTTTAAAGAACTCAACAATCTTGGCAAATTTACTTCTATTTTTTATGTTTGGATGAAAACATCCACTGAATTAACTGCTGTAAAAATGCTTTAGATAAATATTTATATCTCCGCCCTGATCAAAACTGCTTAATTGTTTAGAAAACTACAGGATTTACTCTTTAACTGCCAAATTCATCAGTGATGTTTCTGATTTGGTGAAAAAACACACAAAATGACATTTTCAATATATAAATTAACTGTGGACTGGTTTTTAATCCTTTTATCACAGTCTTTGAAGCAACATTGCCTTTGCACTGTTTTTGATAGATTTAATTTTTTTCCTCAATTTGCTGTTGGTGGCTGTTTTTGCCCCATTGATTTCCATTATAATCACATTTTTATTGTAAAACCATGACACCATATTATCATGGTTTTCCATGTTAGAAAGAAGTAAAATAAATAATTTTCACTGTTGATCATCAGTTGGCGCCATCAACCCTTTAGATAGGCCTGTGCAAAAAAAAGCTTAGTTTCTGGATTTTATATGGTGTATAAATTAATGTGTGTGTGTGTGTGTGTGTGTGTGTGTGTGTGTGTGTGTGTGTGAGACCTTTAGCACTTACCTTGATGTGTCTGAGAAAATCCAAGTATGCATCTCAGAACTACATGGAGTAACTAAAGCAAAGACTGTGTTTATGCACAAATGTGCTTATAATGGAAGACAATGGGGCTAAAACAGCCATCAACAGTCAATTAGGGAAAAAATGAAAATCTAACAATGCATCAAAGCCAATGTTTTATAGTGTTTGTGTCCAAGACTTTGATCAAAGTTGGATTTCTCTTATTTTTTCAGTTTAAAAAGTTTGAAGTCTTTGATAGTCTTAGATTTTTGCACATCTAACGGGTTAATGGTGCCAACTAATGATCAAGAGTAAAAATGACAAATTTTCACCCCTTTCCAACAGGAAAAACCACCAACAATCAAAACTGCATGATTATATGGTGTCATGGTTTTGCAATCAAATAAATGTGGTTATAATGGACGAGAATGGGGCAAAAACAGCCACCAACAGTAAATTAGGGAGAAAAAAAGAAAATCATTTAAAAACAATGCATCAAAGTCAATGTTGTTTCACATGTCCAAGACTTTGATAAAACCTAAAGAAAAATCCAGTCCACAATTATTTTTCATATTTAAAATACGTCATTTTGTGTGTGTGTTTTCACAAAATCAGTGACATAATTTATGAATTTGGCAATTAAAGAGTGAAAATCCTGTAATTTTCAAAGCAATTTAGTAGTTTATGCAAAAAAATATTTATCTGATGCATTTTCACAGCAGTTTAATTTACTGGATGTTTTCATCCGGAACATAACAAAAGGGTAGTAAATTTGAACAAAGCACAAGGGTTAAAATAAACATCACATGAAATCAAATAAAAATAAACTTGTTTTACTTTATATTTATTTTAGGTCTTTGTTTGTTTTTAATTAAATAAAAGGAGGAAAAAAATCTTAAGAGATAATCAGACATCTAAAAATAAGTGTGATTAAAGTAATTAAATTGAAGCACTATATATAAAATCTACCATAGACTAATCTTAGAATTACATGTGAAGTCGCGTGATAGAGTAACCGTTTAAAATGTTTACCGTTTTAAAATGTTTAGTTCTTAAAATATTATAATTATAAAGCATAGCAATAATCCAGTCTAAACACAACCACCATCACCATAATAATAATAATACAGCATGAGCAGCACGTCTGTCTTTTCTCACACAGAAAACCCCCCAAAGCCCCTCCCCCTTTCTATTCTTGCATGACCAATCAGAAGAGTGAATGGATTAAATATTTGAATAGTCACGCAAGCTGTCTGCGCTGATCCAGGGCGTGTGTGTGTGCAAACAGAGATGACCTACAGTTTAATCCAACACCATAAATCAGTGTGTGTGGGTCACTTAGTGTTAATCTGGATTTTATTGAAATGAAAACTGACAGTTCAGTGGTTCATTGCAGTTCATGAAAGCGTCCAGCAGGAGGCTTATTATAATAGTGTCAAACTCTAGTCGTGTGAAAAGCTAATTCACCTGTGACTGATGGGAAAGAAGTAACTGAAAGCAAATGACGCCTCTTAAAGGGACAGTTCACCCAAAAATGAAAACATACTCATGATTTCCTCACCCTCAATTGGCTCTAAACATTTGAGCTTTGTTAATACAACTGGCAACCATTGACATCCATAATATGATAAAGACATACTACGGAAGTCAATGGTAACCAGTTTTCAACATTCTTCTAAATATCTTCTTTTGTGTTCATCAGTAGAAAGAAACTCAAACTGGTTTGTAACTAATGGAGGATGAGTAAATGATGGTGCACTGTCCACTAGGCTATCAGCACCATCGACTGAACTTGTATATGTTTTTAGGTGAACTATTCCTTTGTTTCATCTTTAAGTAGAACAAGCTAAAAGAAAAAAAACATGTTTCTGTACATCAAGTGATCATAAATCATCAGTAACTGTAACCTCAATAAGAGCTCCTGCCACTCATGTTTCCACTGTGCTGGCAGCAAACGCATTTCCAAAGTGCATTGAGGGAAGGAGTCAACACTCGGTTCTGTGACCTGTTAGTAGCTCAGCAAAGGCTCCAGGTTATTTCAGCAGTTTGGGCACAGCCATTGAGGTCATGGAGGTCATGCTGATGGTTGGCACAATGATGTCTCTGAAGACGGGCTGAAAGTTGGAGGAGGTGGACGGTTTGTTCTGGTTCAGAGTCTCTATGATGGTCTGTCTCATTTCTCGACTGGCATCTCCTCGGATGGCTAACAGCGCCAGGATGTGCTCCTCTCTATTAGAGGATGGAGAAAGAGATGGAAGAGTTATTGACTAATATCTTAATACTCCTGTGGAAATAAAAATTTACATAATCTGGTTTCATATTAACAATAATATATATAACTGAGGGGCGTCACGGTGGCGCAGTGTGTAGCATGAGCGCCTCACGGCAAGTAGATTGCTGGTTCGAGCACCAGCTGGGTCAGTTGGCATGTCTGTGTATAGTTTGCATGTTCTCCCTGAGCCCAGGGTTCTCCGGATTCCCCCACAAGTCCAAAGACATGTAGTACAGGTGAATTGAATAAACTAAACTGGTCGTAGTGTATGAGCGTGAATGCAAGAGTGTATGGGCGTTTCCCAGCATTGGGTTGCAGCTGGAAGGGCATCTGCTGTGTAAAACATATGCTAGATAAGTTGGCGGTTCATTCCGCCGTGGCAATCCTTGATTAATAAGGGACTAAGCCGAAAATAAATCAATAAACTCGGATATCTCTACATAAAAAGGAAAGTGACACTTTTTTTATTCTCTACCACCACCGAGTCTGACCTGATGTCAGGATATTTGGAGACCAGGGTGGACACCTCCAGGTACAGTAGAGCAGGATCGGTCAGTTTGAAGACCTCAGCAATGGCATTGATGGAGTCACACAGCCGGTCTGTGTCTTCTCCCTGAGCACATACAAACACAGAAAACCTGACATTAACCTGATACAAAAAATAAAACACTAGAACGCTTCCCTATGATTAGGGCATTTGCTAATCACAAATACTAATGTCTTGCTTTACTATTATTTTGCTCTTAAAAAAAGTAAATGATTAATTATTTGCTACTTTATTAAGTACACCTGTCCAACTGCTCGTTAACAGGAATTTCTAATCAGCCAATCACATTGCAGCAACTCAAGGCAACTAGACATGGGCTGTTTCTCAATATGCGTTCTTCAGCGGTCTTGCGTCCTTGTGTAACGTCATCATCAGCTGCCAAAGTTCGGTTCCAATACTTAAGACCGCAAGTACGGAGGACGTGTGAAACTTCCTGGATGTGTTCTTGATATCGAGGATGCACCG